TTTTAATAAAAAAAAAAGTAGTCAACACCTGGGCCTTTTGGCCCAATAAACCTTAATCCTTAACCTGCCAATTGCTTCTAGTGGGGGGGAAAAGTACTTCCGTTGGGAATTTTAAACAAATTTTGAAAGATAGGAAGAAGGCATTTAAGACTTTTTGTTTTAAACCTAACTTGGGACATTAGTGAAGACAAACCATTAGTTGTACCACCTGGGTCTTATGGCTTAATGGACCTTAGACCTTTACCTATCATTTGCACCCAGTGGGTAAAAAAATATTGCCGTAGGGAATTTTAGACAGACTTTGAAAGATAAGGGGCTAGGCATTTAATGCTTTTTGTTTTCAACCTATCTTTGGACCTATGGTGAAGGAAACAATGAGTTGTTCCACCTGGGCCTTTTGGTCCAATGGAGCTTAGACATTTACCTATCATTTGCATTTAGTGTATAAAAATGTTTTGCCGTAGGGAATTTTTGACAGGCTTTGAAAGATTGGGGATAGGCATTTAAGACTTTTTTTAAACCTAACTTAGGACCTATGGTGAAGACAAATCATGAGTTGTCCCGCCTGAGCATTTTGGCCAGATGAACCTTAGACCTTTACCTATTATTTGAACCTGATGTGTAAAAAAGTACTGCCGTAGGGAATTTTTGACAGACTTTTAAAAAATACGGGGGTAGGCATCTTAACTCTTTAGACCTAAGTTTGGACCTATGCTGAAGACAAACCATGAGTTGTCCAACATGGGTTTTTTGGATCAATGGACCTTAGACCTGTACTTACCTTTTGCACCTAGTGTGTAAAAAAGTATTGCCGTAATCCCAACTTTGGATCTTTTGTAAAGACAAGCCATGAGTTGTCTAACCTGGGCTTTTTGGTACAATTGATCTTAAACCTTTACCTATCATTTACACCTAATTTATAAGATAGTATTGCCGTAAGAAATTATTGACAGTAGTGTAAAAAGGCCGATTGTAAATCCCGTTGAATTTTATAGTAGAAAAACAGTATGACTTGAAAAATGGAACATGAATGGTACAAGGAAAAGTTACTACGTAAAATAGGGGTTAGGGGTTAGTAATTTACAAAATAGGAGTAAGAGATGAAATATGTGAATGTTTAATGTTGGATATTGTTTTAATAAAACCGCTTTCAAAAATTGAAATGAAAATCAAGTGGTGTCATAAGTAAATAAAGGCAACAGTAGCATAAGTAAAATACATAATTATGGGAAGAATTCAACATGCATATTTAGAACATAGTGATAATAATGAGTTTACTTTTGGAATACGTAACAGTCCTCCTAGTTTTCCTTAAAGTTTAATTATTTAGACGAAGAGTCTATTTATGACAGCAACACTTAAAAAGAAAGTGATGGTAAAAGAAATAATAATAATGCTTTCTTACAAGATGATTTTATAAATGACAACGTATTTGACGAAAAGGTACAGTAGCAAAATCAAGAAAACTTAAATTGGAAAAAACACCCCACCGGAGTAATTTACCAAATTTTAGAGGTGATAGAAGTAGATGGTAAGTTTGGTAAAAGTAAATTACTTTCTTTGAAAATAAGGAAGGGAAAATGATTAGGATATTAGCTTGTAGTGAGAAGTACAGGTTTTGAAATGGGTAAAAAGACCAAATAGTAGTATTTCTCATACGATCTTGTTAGAAAGTAAAAACAAAAGGATTAATTTCTAATCTGGTGTTTTGCTGGATTAGAAATTATTTTGATAGTGGTGTTTTGTATAAATGTTTCATCATTTTACGAAGCATAATCACCTCAGTGTACTGTGATTAGCACCGATGTGGATTTTGGTGAGGTGTTTGTAGAGTTGTTATTTTCTTTGTAACACGTCGTTGATGTTTTCGATAGAGTAGGAACAGTATTCAGTGCAATATTAAACCAGGTACTACCATTATCATTAAAATTACGAAAAGTGTTGTTTCCTGCATGAATATTTGGGAAAGAGTAGTAAGTCTCCAGGTTTACCAGAGCCATGTCATAACTCTTTCCATTTTTTAAGTGAATGGGTGGATTGAACCGGGTATCGATTTTACTGTTATTAGCAGATACAATAAAAGAGAACGCATGCTTAGGTGCTGTATTTTCAACAATTTGTTTTAATAATTTATTTTCCATTTTGTTCATATACTTTAAAACAATACGTTCATCGTTTTCCATCAGACTTGGATTGTAGGACTCTATATCTGAGATCAGCAATTCAAAGGCTACGGTGTTCGCTGGAACATTGTACCCGAATTTTGCTCTGATTTTAATGTCAACCACAGACTCTTTCAACTTCTCAGACTGGCGACTCACATCGATGACGAACAAAGGGTATAGGTCTTTAAAGTAAGAAGGGTTGATATTACTATTGATTACGAGATGGTCCATGTTGAAAAACTTTTTACGAAAGTCGGTGGCTTCTTTGTTCACCATAGATACTTAACACTAGGTGAAGAGGGCGTTGAAGTCTAAGGCTGGATAACGTTGAACATTCAGGCTGATATGAATATTTTGTAATCGACAGTGATAAAACACGGCTGCGTTATGAGTTTGATCGTCACTTTTATCGGTTTGGAAGTTAACGATGATGTATCTAGGCTTCTCCCGTCCACTCCTGGCAGATAATCGCCAAGTGAATTCTCTACTTTAGGGGACAGATATGGAATCGCACTGCCTCATGGGTAAACCACAGTTGAGTTTAGTTTTGCTTTGGATTGTTTTGTATAGTTTGATCTTATTTACATCGGAGGGGACCACATGAGGAACGAACCAGTATAGTTTATTAATACTTTCTTTGATTGATTTGCTGCTGCTGCTCTTAACACTGCGTTTGCATCAGAGTCTCGTAAGAGTGTGAGTTCGTGTTTGAATCCATACACGATCTTGTCATAATCCTCTGCGAAACCAAAGATGTGTTTTAAAGGTATGGCGAATGAAAACATTCCTTTGGTTGTAGGCTTTGTGGTAATGTAACCATGTCTAGCTGCAAAACCAGTGTTATCAGCCTCGACGCCAGTCGTAGAATCTTTATACCACAATTGGTTGAGACCTCGCGATTTGCTGAAGTCGTCGGGATACATCAACAATCCCAAGATATTAGTCGCTATACCTGGATCATTGAGGTATTCAATCTGCTGACCGGACAGTTTATAACCGATGCTTTTGAAGAGATACATGATACCATTGTTGACAAGGGATACCAGATATGCATCGGCATACGCTGTGTCGTCGTTTTTCAGAAGTCGTCCTTGCACCAAAAGATAACTCTCAGCCGGAAGAACAAACAGATCTTGGGTTTCGATGTTGATTTTTAATTCAGCACCTGAACTATTTAAGGATGTTCCAGTTTGGGGTTCGTATTCATGGACTTGATGAGCTGACCAGAACACCTGCGTAAATTTGTCTCCATTTGAAATTTCTCTAGATTAAAGCCAACATTCGTTCTAAAATGGATCTTAATTATTAATTTGATACCAAACAGAAAACAATAAACTTGCGGAAAAGATGGTACTAGTATACCGCAAACATGAGGTGCAAAAATTGGTACACTATAACCGGATTCCTAACATCACTGAAGGGACATTAATTGTCGAAATCCGGATATGGTGTACCAATTTTTGCACCTCATGTTTGCGGTATACCATCTTTTCCGCAAGATTATTGTTTTCTGTGGCAGTCAGCAGGGTTTAAGAACATCCGTTGTTCGAACTGCTAGTCAAATGCGTTTTGTTAAAATATACTTTTTTCCTTTTTTGGTCTTTTGGAAAATGTTGTTTGTGCTGTATTTAGACCCCTCTACCAAGAAATTTGTTTTGCATGCACACGTATAAAAATAGCGGTTTTTATCCAACGCAATCATAGGTTTGAACGTTGTTTTCAATTGAGACTTGTTTATATTTTTTCGTTTGGGCTTGTATTATATTTGCCTTCGGGTTTATATAATCCGTTCATCCTATTTCGACTCTTCAAAATTAAAGAGTTTATCCTAAATTGAGGTAAATTATATGGCCTTCCAAATACCGTTTCGATTCCTTACATCACTGAAGATACATTAATTGTCGAAATCCGGATATGGTGAACCAATTTTTGCACCTCATGTTTGCGGTATACCATCTTTTCCGCAAGTTTATTGTTTTTTGTTTGGTATTAAATTGATAATTAAGATTCATTTTGTTACATCTGGTGATCCGTTTATTTGACAATCGCCATGGCAGTCAGAAGGATTTAAGAACATCCGTTGTTCGACCAGCTAGTCGAATGCGTTTTGTTAAAATATACTTTTTCACTTTTTTGGTCTTTTAGATGTTGTTTGTGCTGTATTTAGACCCCTCAACCAAGAAATTTGTTTTGCATGCACACATATAAAAATTGCGGTTTTTATCAAACGCAATCATAGGTTTGAACGTTGTTTTCAATTTAGACTTATATATATATATATATATATATATATATATATATATATACTGTATTATACTGTATTATAAGTATATAGTAGGTACTTTTTTTTTCTGTGGTAAACAAATTGCATATGATGGTATTTATCACCAATATCGCCGGGCATCTTCGCATAAAGGGCAGGTCTGATTCTCTCTTGGGGTATTAGACCACCTCCCACAATCCATTGGAGGTTTATGATTAACCATTCTCAACTTATAGAATATAATCATATCTTTGTCGCTTAGTACATCGAAATACTTTTCAGTTGTAAATAATTATTTAAAAAATCGGTAATTCAAATTTTTTGCAGAGGTTTCTACACTTGAGACCCAAGTTTGAGTAAATTGGTCTTCTAAAATAGTTTTAACAGCACACTTAAGCGTAATAACATGATAAAAAGTTTGATGTCCATATTAAGGAACGTCCACATTCGCTGAGGATGTTTTTTTTTTTAGCCAAGTTAATCGGAAGTTTATTTCAAGTGCAATTTGAGTCATTGATTAATAAATAATTGAACACAATTTGGTCTCTTTCCGGTTTGACAATTTCTTCCAATAAAATACCATTCTTATTTTAATATCAATATGTAATGGATATTACAAGGGGATAACAATATAATACAACACTCTTTAAAGATATATATCGAAAAGCATATACATTTGTAAGACAAAACCAGTAATATGCATTTCATTGGTGTACAAAAAGAACAGCGATAATGAACCTAGCACTTCGATCATATATACAATCATATAATTATCTTTATATATCTATCTATATGTATACCAAGGATACTTCAGTTATGTACACATGTCAGGTTTAATAAGGAACCGGTTGGGGCATTCTTATTCTCAGTTAATCTTACATATTAGAACGGATAAAATGTCTGATTTGATTTAATTTTGATTAGAAAAAAATGGTTTCTCTTTGAGCAAATTAAGATATATAAATACCTACTTGAATGGTTCAAAACAATACTTATATATTTTTAAAGATAAATATCTAAAGTTTGCTCTAACTTTTATATTAAACATTATTTTTCAAACTTTATTCCTTCCTTTTTTCTATTGCATTTCATCGTACAAAACAATGCTCCAGGGGGGCTAGGATGAAAAATGTTGTCCTGCATTTTTTTTTAGTTGTAATCTCTGTCCTGCCTTTTTATTTTTCACTCTATTCGGTCCTGCCTTTTTTTTTTAAAGTTTATCCTGACTTTTTTTTACCTAAATTGTCATCCTGAATTTTTTTTTTTTTTGCAAGTGTCTCATCCTGCCCTTTTTTTTTACTCAAAACTCCTGTCCTGCCTATTTTTTTTAAATTTCATCCTAGCCCCCCCCCCCCATAAAAATCAAATGGTAGCTCCCTAATACACTGTCAAAATTTCATGTTTGATTAAATTTCTTCAAAATACCGGTCTGGTCATCTGTTTTGTATATCGCCCTTTCATACTATTTTTAAACTGCTAGGTTTTCTTACGTATATTTCGATGTGCCCGTGCTGTCTATCATTTGTTTTTTAGTTTAATATGTATTGTCTATCATTTGTTGTTTTGAAATTATTGGTCTTTTGTTAGGCAATGTATGACAAATATATGTTGAAAAAACCTCGCCCGTAATTATAAGTTATGTAATTCATTGACCGCTCCCGACATGTGTAACTTCATGGCATATTTTAGCGGCGATCGATGTCAAAATTACTGCACTTTTCTTGTATCCCTGGTGCTTTTGACTGGAGAACCGTCGTACACAAGTATCGCACAAATTGGCACTCCGAGGCGGGTTGGGAGCAAGAAGGTGAACTGTGGTTTATTTTTATCAATAGTACCGCTTAAGTCGATGCTAGGGGCCGTTTTGACCTTGTTGTAGGGTATGAATGATACGTTCATTGATGAAGACCCTACATCAACTGTCAAGATGAAGAACAGGAATAAAAGCCCTGTTCATTGATAATTTTCTATTTTTTCTATGTATTGTGTGCGATTTTGTCCCTTGTACATTTACTCCATATCCTTTCATTTTCTAAAAATAGATATTCACACAGAAGATCGATATATAAGTCGAACTTTGAACAGGTGAAAATGAAAATTCTGTCCGAAAAATTAAACCTCCTGCTTTAGCCCCCGAAATTCAAAGGCGCATTACATTTGCGCGCATTTGGGAATTAAAATTTTGACCCCTTATTGTGTAGAAAAATATTAATTAATAAATCTTTAATTTGAAAAATCCTTTGATCTTGATTTGTTTTACATTCATTTAGAATTAAATTTATACTGTTGAACATGTCTTATTTAAACATGTTAAATATTGTCTTTAAATTAAAGGAATTTTAGTTAATGCGAAAAAAAAGGAATAATAAAAAGTACAAGTCCTTCTTCATCAAATTGAATTCATTTTACATAGATGATTTCATGTTGAATAAAATCAAGTTTTTCAAAATCCTTGAGCATGTATCTTTCATTGATGTCGTCATATACGTTTTCGCTTTTCCTGAAAAATGCCACTTCTTTCAGTTTTTCTTCAGCACTAGACTTTTCTTGTAACCTTGGAAATCGCAGAGTCCGACCGTTTAATCTCTTCTTTATCCAGTCCTTCTGTCTCCACAGTGCTATTGCAATGATTACAGTTGAGCCAATAGTGGCAATAGAAGACATGTATAGCACTACGTAATTGCTTGACGACGTACCTTAAGTAGAAAATAATCGTGTTAGTATTATGTATATATCATTAAACTGTTTTCAGTCAAACTGTTGAAATACTACTTGCATTACGTGAAGATATTGCACTTAGCTCTATGGTAACAGTTAGGCACAGTGATACCCTACAAGTATCAACCCTATCCGTTTCTTAGCCTTAGTTATTCCAAAGTCAAATTGAAGAAAATGGTGGATCTTGTCAGGAAATCTTTAATTCGAATGACAAATTGTTAACTTACTTTTTGAGGAATCTCTCTCTTTTATTGGTGCAATGGTTGGCTTTGCTGTAAAATATGAACTAATAAAAGCAAACCTTTCTACCAACATATATTTGTATAACATGTGTGTTTAAATCATACAAATTAAAACGAATTCAATGATTTTCTAGAAAAGAAATATCCATTTTCCCGGTTTGAGTAGACAAACAAAGTGTTCAAACATTCAAATTATAGTCATGTTAACGGAAAATAAACTGTCGTTTCATATAAAGTTTTTAAGAATCAAAAAGGGTAACATCGTCTATATCGTCTTTATTATATATATATATGAGCAAAGATCTATCATAAAAGATATGTTGTAGAATGATGTCTTATAAGATTATGTTTATATGGGTAAAAGATATTTTTGTTTTGTTTAAGCAACGACTCGTGTATTGCTAGAAACTATCTGCAAAATTATAATTTAATATAAATTTTGTCCGTTTTAACGTGTTTTCACAGTGATACTTCATCTTATATGTCTGAACTAAAGTGACCATAATATGTTTTTGCAAAGATTAGATATTTTTTGATCAATTTCGAGGCCTGTAAATGTCTCTTATCGATCCTCTTGATTACCAAACCATCATTGATGACACATACATGTATATCTAAAGTGTTACTAGAGAAAGAATCAGACATGTTTAACTGATGACACATATATCTAAAGTGTTACTAGAGAAAGAATCAGACATGTTTAACTGATGACACATATATCTAAAGTGTTACTAGAGAAAGAATCAAACATGTTTAACTGATGACACATATATCTAAAGTGTTACTAGAGAAAGAATCAAACATGTTTAACTGATGACACATATATCTAAAGTGTTACTAGAGAAAGAATCAAACATGTTTAACTGATGACACATATATCTAAAGTGTTACTAGAGAAAGAATCAAACATCTTTCAATCAGTTTAATTGAGGTCTGGAGCTGGCATGTCAGTAACTGCTAGTAGTCTGTTGTTATTTATGTATTATTGTCATTTTGTTTATTTTCTTTTGTTTCCTATTCTGACATCGGACTCGGACTTCTCTTGAACTGAGTTTTACTGTGCGTACTGTTGTACTTTTGTTTTTTCTACATTGGCTAGAGGTATAGGGGAGGGTTGAGATCTCAAAAAACATGTTTAACCCCGCCGCATTTTTGCGCCTGTCCCAAGCAGGAGCCTCTGGCCTTTGTTAGTCTTGTATCATTTTTAATTTTAGTTTCTTGTGTATAATTTGGAGTTTAGTATGACGTCCATTATCACTGAACTAGTATACATATTTGTTTAGGGGCCAGCTGAGTACCACCTCCGGGTGCGGGAGTTTCTCGCTGCGTTGAAGACCCATTGGTGGCCTTCGGCTGTTGTCTGCTCTATAGTCGGGTTGTTGTCTCTTTGACACATTCCCCATTTCCATTCTCAATTTTATGTTTAACTATATTCAAACGGTACATATATATATATTAAATATAATCTTCTGGAAACGTTTTGATTTTCCCGATATTTATAGAGAAAGTGTGTTCAAAACGTTTGCTATAACTTCTCAATGTTTGTGAAAAAATACAGAAAAATTGAACAAAGTAACATATACAAAAAAGAAGCACCAAAAAAAAAAACAACAACAAAGAAACACACGAAACAAATAAAAAAAGAAATATGGAAACTTTAATAACACTATCATATAACCTTTAATCTTTAACCCCGACCAAATGGAGAACGAGACAATGCACTTGTAATCACTTCCCAGTCCTCGACATACACTTGTTTCCAAAGTAGTTTGAAGAGGATGTCACGTTAATATTTGTCTCGTTATTTTCATAAACCGGAACAAACAATAGGGTTTTCAGACATTTAGTAAAATTTAAATGCATCCTATCTGTCGTAATTGTGTCAGTGGACTAAGCGAAATACATATGCAATATAAATCTATAAATATGCATATGTGTAATAAGACCGGTGTTTCTAATGGAATAGGGACCACTTAGCATTCCAGATTACTTAATCAGTTTAACAAACATTTTGAAGCGGGAACTAAAGTTTGTTTGGTTTTTTTTTGGAAAGGGGGGGGGGGGGGGAGTATCTACAGTTGATAAAAATTAGGAATTATGGTGAAAAATTAGGTTTAAACTCAATTTTGCAAAGTTGGCCTTAGGTATATTTTGCTATTTTCTTTATTTTCCTTTAGGTATTTCAGCTCATTAAGTATTCAACTATCTAAACAGCCACGGCTTTCAGATTCCTAATGGAAAAAAAAAACAGAAAAGCGATTCAAATGTGCCAAAGGAGTACGTTCGATAATGCACTAATATGGCCCTTATCAGTTCAGTTTAGTACTTCTAGTAAACAAAATCCATGTATTTACCACCAGTTTTCGTTAGAATGTGTATTATATATATATATCTGTCTTTATACGGCTGTTTGTTATGATTGAACTCGTCACAGTAGATTTTCTATTTTTTAAAACAAAGTACAATGTAAATTGGTTGATTGCAAAACTGTCAATATTCAAACATGTTTATAATAGTTTCAAAATAACTCAATCAGTAATAAATTATGCATTTGATATGGAATTGAAAAATACTTTTAAAAATTAAGGTCGACGTGGTGGAAAGTTGTGCTTTTATATGATTAAAGAGATTCGACAATGCATGTAGGATATATAGTAACAATTAAATTTTTAATGGAAACAGTGTTTTTGATATATGAAGATGATGATGGAAGGCTGCTTAACGTCCAGCGGCAAATTAATATGCATATTCAGAACGAGAACATAATTATGTATCATGAATATTAACCATGTTTTGTACTAAACCGACACGCTGAGCCCGATGTTTACCGTGCTAGTTCACAAGGTAACAGTTTGCAGAAAGACATGTCACCTTACCCGGACACATTATTTTGACTCCGGGTCGACCAGTCTTTGCTCTTACTTATTAATGTCGCGTGCTTAGCGGAGAAGCAGCAAATACCAATTTTAAAGTCTTTGGTTGGACCCGGCCGGGGTTCGAACCCAATAACTCCCGCACTCTAGGCGAACACGCTACCACGACATCACCGAGGCGGGTTTTTGATATATGTGTTTTGTTTTAATTGTAATGATGTACACATTATAATTGATAGAGTAACGAAGTTTTGTACAAGATATCAGTATTCTATGAACCTCTTAAACAAGCACACCGTCTTTAGTCTGCTTAACACTGTCATAATTCCATGACTACATGCACAGTACTTATGCAAAGTTTACATAAAAACACTACAAGATATTTTGAGTGAGTGAAAAAAAGAAGTAGAATCTAAACTAATCAGGTATCCTCATTTGCAGTTTTATGACAAGTAGTGCAGTGTTAAATGTAACTTAAAGGATAAAGGTTATATATAACTTTGAGAGCAAAATCTCAACATGCAAAATTATAGCTGTAGATAATAGAAAAGAAAGGATATGGGATATCCATCCATGACACAAAATCAGTACATGCAGAAAACCCCACAAAAAACAAACGAACAGCGTTTTAATTATCTAACGTCATATCAAAGTCATAGTGCGGCCTTCAAAACGGAGCCAAAAATCTCTAAACTCACTGGAAGTTTAAGACCGTACCTAGAACCGGTTTGAGTGGGATACTTTGCAAACTGACGATCACACCATAACTGTGAATTGAAAGCTATCTCAACTGGTGAAAGAAGGTGTGTGTTCGAATACTGCTAACTTGCACAAAACCCCTGTACACATTATTATGATTCCGTAATTTTGATTATTCGAGACATAATTCCAAAATTTGAATTTCATTTACGTATAAATAAAGTGCGACATATACGACTGCACGTACGATCTGTGACAACATTAAACTGGTGCTTAGAAGAAGAAAAATAAGCGAAAGGCATGATTAAATTTGTATTTATATGATTGTAGTATAAAAATGTAATTTTACGCATTGTATGTTTCTCTTTGTAATTGTAAAGGAGTGTAAACGCGTTGAACGTGCACATTTTTAGAATGAAGCGCGGAAATCCAATTCTTAAATATAAAAAAACAAATCACTAGGTCTTCAAGTTCATTTCACATCTTTGTCAAAATAAGTTTTTTAATGTAGTAGTTCTTTTATTTATAAACAAGCTGTCCAACAAGAAGTACTTACAAGACTGTTGAGTACTGGTTGTGGAATTAATACAGCCATATACATGGTCACAGCTACATAAGAAAAGAATATAACATTTAAACTTTTTTAATGTTGGGCAATAGATTGTATGTGTTGGCAGATGTGTGTATTGTGTCTGTATTAATATTTCTGCTTTTGTAATCTTACTACTTTGATAAATATTTATGGATTAGTTAAAGTGCAAGAATTAAATCTGTTACATTTGTGTAAATAAGCAATAACATAAGATGGTTACTGGTACTGATGTTTTATGACCAATAATGTTTTATCTTCGGGTTGATGGATGTCACTTGGGGAACAGTCTGAAAAGCTGAGTTCGCTGTGTCCCATTTATAGACGAATAACCGGAGATGTAACCAATTGAACATCAACACAAAAACAAAAATAAATTAAAGACTTCTAGTCGTAGGCAATATAAATCATTCAAAATTATACAAGTCAAAAGTCTTGAATAATAGACAGGTCAAGAGTTTATCAAATTTTCTCGAGTCATTCTCATAGAAACATCAAACATCTACAATTAAACCTAAGTGTTCCAATTATGTTCAAAGCACTTTTCCTGCTTATTAGAAATCGTGCTTTGGACAATGTCATAAAAATTACAAGAAGATATGGTCTTTTGCAATGCTCAAAACAAGCTATGCAACAACAAAAAACAAACAAAAGAACCATTTAAGTATTGCTCAAAACTATAAATTAGCTAAACTTATTCAAAAACAAAATTATGATAACGCCGATTTGGCGAGTTAATTGTACACTTATAACGTTTATCAATGAGTCTACCGAGACAAGGAGACAGATATGAAGGCCAACTGTTAAATGTGTTAGTTCCATAACCGTTAAAAGCTGGATGTAATATACCGTTTGTTATTGAACTTTTGAAATAGGAATCATACTTCCCTAAATCTTAAAAGTTTTCATCCAATTCTGATATTTATATATATACTGCCATTGTTGTTTAGTAGTTTAGATAATACTTTCATTACAGACACGGGTATACAGAACCAACTGAAAACATATACATCCCATAAGAAGAAGCCAACAGAATATCATCATCAAGGGAAGGAAACTAAACAATCGGCAGGGAAAAATCGCCCGGTTATCATAAATAGTGGTATATCCATATGAAATTATAAAACCAAGGTTTAGAAAAAATACCTGTTTACCTTCAACTGATATATGCCAATTCACGTAACTATGTGGAAATATGCAAAGAAGGGACCTGCTTCATATTTGGCACCGGTCGTGTTGCTCATGTTAGTACAAACCCGGTAATAAGTCTAATTCGATAGGTCATATTCGAGAAAAGGGGACGGGATTGTAGTTACGACATAAGGAACATATCCGCTATCATCTGAATACTAGTTATGTACACTTTTGGCATTTTACCGGACAGTAACTAAAAATCATCAATACGCTTTTGCTTGTTAACGCGTTTAGAATACCGATAATTTGCAGACAATAGAAATTTGATTGGTGGATAGATGGATGGCTGTTTAACGTCCAGAGGCTAATCAAATGCATATTCAGGACAAGAAGATGACAATGTGGTATGAGTTTAAACTCTACTTTGTACTTGACCTACACGCTGAGTCGGATTTTTAACTTGCTAGTTCAAAAGGTAACAGTCCACAGGAAGACATGTCACACCACCTAGACACACTATTCTGAGTCCGAGCCAGCCAGTTTTTTTTTCTCTTACCCCTTAAGGGAAAGCGGTAGTACTCATTCTTCCATAGGCGACAATACTAACATTTTCTAAATTTACCACTTTTTATGATAAAAATCTGGACAAAACAGTTATGTGTGATATAAGTACTTTATTATTCTATTTTTAGAAATTAAAGTCAAATGGTATCATGACCATCTTCGAACGGAGCTTGTTTATGGTATCCATGCCAAACGTCATTTTACATCAAATTTATGAAAATTTGGAAGCCTTTTCGAATAATTCTCAAGAAAACATTTCAATGTGTTTCAAAATTTATATTGTAAATATACATCCTGCAGTTGTTCATAAAAAAATAAAAAAATATATTGTACTCTTACGTAAATCCAATCACAGCGCTCCTAGGTTGACTTCCTTCACATGCCTTGGGTACACAAATTGCCAACCTAAAGCCTGGAAAATGGAATATTACTTTTTTCCCTTAATGCCGCGTGCTTATCGGAGAAGAAGCAAATACCAATTTTCAAGTCTTGGGTTCGAAGCCACGACCTCTCGCACTCGAAGCTACCACGCTACGACCAGACCACCAAGGCGGTGTAATATGATTGACGTACACTCTACGGTCCAGTCAGATTATTAGCCTCACTGAAATAATATCATCCAGTAAGTATAATAGAAAAGAAAGGATATGGGGTATCCATTCATGGCAAAATCAGTATGTGCACAGCAACAAACACAAAAAGCAAAGGAACAGCACTTTTATTGCGGTTCTTCATCTCATACTCATGAAAAATATATCGAAACGTTACAATGGTCATTTTTATATGTATTAGAGATGAGCAAAGGTGACTCATAAGATTATCTTAGACATATTAACCTTACCTTTCGTTTGCCTCACAGAAACAGTCAAATGCACACCTTTCTCCATAAAAATCTTCTTTACACTGTTGGCAATGATTGTTCTCACTAGCGTAACCTATTGGACATGCTATAATCAAGAATATACAATTTCATTCATCAGTTTACATTTTGGTGCATGCATTGGGTTTGAGCTGCAGAGCCTTTTTTCATGTCGTTGAACAACGGAAACAACTTATTTTTTAACCATTTATTAGGTACAGGAGGCTAGCTATATTTTTTCTTTGAACATTGACGGACATTGTAATAATAAAAATATCTCTTTTTGTCCATAGAATAATTATGACATTTTAAAAGAATCATGAAATGAAGTCCTCGGCTATTGAATGAACAGCAACGATACGATATTATGTGAACCCTTTTCGACTTTGATTCTTAACCCCAAATGAGATTATCATTCGAGGACCAAAATATTATAACATATAGGGTTTTGTATTTCATTATATTGTAGAAAGACTAATTATTTTCATTCAAATTGTTCGTAATTTAGTCCATAGTAAAATATAAATTCTGAAATAGAAACAAACCCTTGTGCACATTCTCAATAAAGGAATTATAACACAATATAAAAAGCAAAATAAAATAGAAGAAAATAACCAAACGCCAAATCTGTATAAAAGACTAATGGGCGCCACTCCTCGAGTGACCCTATTAGCGTAGACTGCACTACCGGATGGGTTCGTCAAGGTGACGTATTTCATACCCAGTCAATCTTTGCGCCTATTATTAACGCAAATCATAATTAACTTACGATGTAAATTCTTAACAAAATTTTCAGAAATGTATTGCAAATATTTTGTTACATGTAGGAGGCTTTGTATTCCTATAACGTACATGACCTCGGGGTAATATTTTCTATTTCTGTTTCCGGTTTTCAATTATTTGCTATTTATTTGCTGTTTTTACTTCAATATTCTGTTGGAGCAATCCAAGGTATTATAATAGTATACATACTTTCACATCTTCCATTCTTTTCAATGGCATTAGCGCAACAATAGTATTTGATTGAATAAGCTGTTGTTCTTCCAGACACAAAACTACAAATATTGAAAATACATAAAAAGATGACGTGTTTAAAAAGAGTTTTTCTAGGGATTTGGCTCTGTTCCACTTGGCCTCTTAAACACACATCTGACTTTGCAAATCTTAAAGTAAAAAGCTACTGTCATAATATGATTATGTTTAAATCTCATTACACTATTAGTAAGTTTTATAAATATTCGTAATTTCATGAAATATGTATATTTCATTTTCTCATTATAGAATTAGTATGATTGATATGATAAAGTCTTACAAAATCTGAATTAAGTTACATATGGGATTCGGTAGGCCAGCATCTTACTCTTTTAATTTATACTAACTACATGTATGTTATTGATGTTATATGATTATTTATTGAAATAAATACATACTGGACAATAATATAAGTCATTCTTTTACGCTGGATTCGTTTAAATATGATTATGCTGGAGTCAACTAACTGCACTTAATACAAGACTATCTAGAGGAACACTATCGAAAATCAACACTGAAATAAAAGTACACACTCGCCCGCCTGTGACAATACAATACTAAATTAGACCTGTTTAAATGGGAAAAACGATGACGCGAGAACAATAGAAAAGTGACTCTTCTTATGAAAGAGGCGACAAAGCTAATAGATTGTTGAACCATACCGGTTAAAAGTTATTTTTAAACCATATTCGTACATTTTAAAGAAATTATCTGTTTAAGTTTGTTATTTGAAATATACATTAAAATGAGTAATGTCATATTTTCATTATATATCGAGATAATAGCATTACAAGCTTCCTACACTGATTTTTTTTTTTAAAATTTAATCTTTGATGCATATGATTATAAAAAAAATGTAGCAGATCATGTATTTACAAAAGGTAATAAAAGTGTTTTCCAGTCATGAATTTTTGAAGTGTTTCACATAGTGCTTAGATGATAAAATTTCCCTAAGATAGCTTTTCCACAACTAAGTCTTCGAGCAAAATTTTACAGTTTTGAAAATAGGTTGTCTCAAATATTTTACATGTATGTGCAGTTTTCTCGATTTATCACATTAAATGTCTACATCGGAATAAGGTCTGTTTGAATTTGCCTAGTAACTTAATTTCAAAAGTGTTAATCTCTGCTGCATATCAACCGATTTTATTGGTATTTTTTTTGTGGAATTTTTCTCATCTATCTGTATACATAGTCTCTGGTAATTGGTATGTTCCTGTGACACGCCTGGTAAACCATCATATCTCAACCAAATTGTTAAGCTAGAAAAAAGTTTACTGTCACTTCCTGAAGAGCTTTTCTGGTACAAAATATCAAAAATACAGATAGGGTAAGTCGACTTTTCATCGATTTATTGTCAATTTGTAAATATTTTGTTAAATAGGAGAATGTCATGCCATAGATAACTAAATGAGAGCTTGTCTTGTTCATTACTCGGACCAATGTAATTTAAAATGACATCGGAATGACTTTTCTCCCGCAGGTAAGTACGGCAAGCTCAGTGAGTTTTTGACAAAATGACAATGAGTTCATCAATACGTATCGTATATATCAGTATTATAAGCGTTCTTTTTCGTCATAATAAACGTATAATATTATAATAGATTTTGTTTCTATCTCTGTACGAATATAATTTTATTAAGCTGAATATGTTATAAAGTATATCAGGTTGAGATTGTCTGGTATCGGTTGTGATATTCTGAAACAAAGTTGAGATCTTCTGTCAAAGAAAACTTCCAACTAGCTAATTGTCCAAATTCGTGAACCCTCTGTATAGTAGTTGTAATTGTAACTTGTTTCTTGTTTTGACATAAGTTTTGTATGATCGAGTTCTGTAGGTCTATTAATACAGATAATAAAGAGTAGTGTGTTTTAAAGCCTTGAAAATGAGATGTAAAGTCTAGCGCTGAAGAGCTGAAGATGTTACGTAAACGCTGGAGAAGTAAAGTCTAGCGCTCAAGATGTAAGGTCTAGCGCTGTAGATGTAAAGTCGAGCGCTGTAGGTATTATGTAGCAATACACAGCTAGGAGTTTGGTTTTGCAATTCAGCCCTGGTGAATTTGTCAAAGAAGAAAATTGGTGTGCACTAACATTTATTCTTATAGATGAAGAATAATATAACTGTCAAAAGGGGTTAATATGAACTTCAAGATTGTTTTTCGCATGTTTTTAGTGAATTTTCTGTTAGACAGTCCTTGTATCACATCCGTATCGACATTAGGTCCAGCAATTATTGAAACATGTTTTTTTTTTACATTTTTTATCCGCTTAAACTTCAATTTTATCGAAAAATTATGTTAAATGCATATGATTTTTATTTGACATCTAGATAGATAAATGCCAATAGTTTCAGAAAAGATGTCACTCAAATGGATTGAATTTCTACTTCAGACCATATTTTGGGGACATTTGTGACATTCTTATCCCCCTTTTTGCAATATTTTGTTTCAAACAAATGCAAATTGTTTCCTTTGTAACACCTAAAAGAAATAATATGTTATCTATTGTAAATCAAATCTATGGAAGATGCTGTTTCCATACATATGCACATACATGACAGAACAGTAAGCCTAATTTCTTAGGAAGAAAGGCAGGACTTTTCGTCTACAGCTCTGAAAATTAAGATCTACAGCGCTGGACTTTGCATCTACTGCGCCGAACTTTATACGTACAACGCTTTACTTTAAATCTGCAGCGCTAGACTTTCTATCTCGTTAGCTAGACTTTAAAAACACAACTCTTTAGTATCCGTATTAGACCAACAGGACTCCATATAAAATAATGTCAAAACAAGAAACAAGTTAAAATGACAACCACTATACAGAAAGTTCATGAATTTTGACGGTTATATCCGATTGATACGTAGCTATAGATGAAAATTTTATTCGACAGTAGATCTCAACATTGTTCCAGAATATCACAACCAATACCAGACAATCTCAACCTGACATACTTTATAACATATTCAGATTAATAAAATCAAGTTCGTAAGAAACAGAAAAAAAACAAACTGTTTATTTATACGTTTATATTGATTAAGAATAACACTTATATACTGATATATACGTTACGTATTGAAGAACTCACTGAGCTTACCGCACTTAACTGCGGGAGAAAAGTCATTCCGAGTAATGAGTGAGACAAGCTCTCATTTAGTTATCCACGGCATGGCAATCTCCTATTTAACAAAATATTTACAGATTGACAATAAATTGATGAAAAGTCGACTTACCCTATCTATATTTTTGATATTTTGTACCAGAAAAGCTCAACAGGAAGTGCCAGTAAACTTGTTTCTCGCTGATCCATTTGGTTAAGATATGATGGTTTACCAGGCGTGTGTGAGGTATACTGTCAATAGAAAACTAAATTGATGTCGGACCGGGTACTCGAGGAATTTATTCGCATAGCAACATTTTAATCCAATTTTACACAAAACTCAAATAGCCTGCTTATCTCATCGTTTGCTATATTATTGGGAAAATAAAACATTGTATGGTAATTTTGTTTTTATTTCAATTTATTTTTATTCGTACTTATAGTCTACTAGAACGCCAGTTTTCTTGAGAATTTATGATCAATATCGTCCTTGCGAAAACCGGACAAACTTTGAAAAGATAAAAAAAAATTCAGGGTTTGCAGGGGAAGTGCGAGATTCACCACTGCTTTTGGGTCACATCAACAGCTTAACGATAAGATTAATCAATATGAATATGTGTCCCGATGCTAGCATGCACCGTGTAGTTTGTAATCGTCACTTTTCGTTACTAGTTTGAATTATCCGGAACTAAAAGTTTGGAAAAGAAATTGATTTTTGAATGATTTATGCCAATACTCCCAATTCCAATGAAATCCCAATTTCCGTTTCCAAAGTAAATCGCGTTGTCCGGAAATTTATAATAAATATTCCAGAAACATTTTTTTTTTTTGCACATTGGAATGATCAAAGTTTTTGATTTACCCCTATTACAATACGTAAATATTTTAAAAACAACATCAAATGATGTGTGAAAAATTTGAAAGACATACCTTTCAATTTTGCTGCAAGTCTGTGAATGAATGTTATTGGTGAGTAGAAATTGCACAGAGACAAACATAATCCATTGCGAAGCCATTGTACTTAAAACAATAAGGAAATATTAACATGACATATATATTGAAAACGTATATCAAGGAAGTCATATTTAAATAAACTGAGGCTGTTAATATATATATAATTAATCAATGTTCATGTTTTTATTGTCGATGCTATGTAAAAAATAGTAAAATTAGGAGCTCAAATTTTATCTATATCCGTGAGTGATTTTGCCCAAATATAAATCTAAGGCCGCATAAGTTGTACGGTTAATAGTAGATTTTCTGAAATGATTGAAATGTTTCTCGAAAAAAAAAGAACTGCACATATATATTGTATTGACTAAAAACAAAATGATGAAAAATGAAGGCCGCTATTTTATATAAACAAAATTAAAAGTGAAATAAATATTATCGACATTCTTAATTTAAGAGTTTAAATCTATTCCGTTTCTAATTATCTAAAATGAAATATTTGCTTAAATAACCAAGATTTTTACAATTAAAAACCAATTTGTTCCTATGCCCAGAACTGACTTTGAATGAAATGTAAGTAAACAGCTCCTTTAATCATTCTTTTCATGATTTGAATATAACTGCTTTACTTGACTAACATTTTCGAAAACAGGCGATTGTATTCCCTATAATTGTTAATTTCTCTTCGGTATCGTGCGAGGTATTTCTCGCGGTGTATATATTTCAAAACTCGTTCAATATACAAGTTCCTGTAGTGATGTTTTATATTTCTATCAGCCCATTTATGTTTAACTGGTCAATCGTAAAGGCTATTATGATATTTTTGTGCGTTTGGCTTGTTAATTTGAAATTTTTGGAAGAGGGAGAGTCGGATATTGGGAAATGTCTATACATAACAACAATAGCTATCACATTAGATTTGTAGTTACTGTAAGAGAAATTTAATTACCGAAGACCACACAACATCTTGAAGTGACTTGTTACTTCTGGTTTGATTTACTCTTGTACCCGAATAAAAACAATGCATAATTATCTTAACATGACAAAAGTATTTTTAAGGATCATGGAATGAGTTGAAATGTGTTTCGTTTTATGTGTATCAAATGTTTAACTATATTTAATTGAAAAATAGTAAATAACACGCTCACTATAAATTAGAATTATGAAAATGTTTTTTTTTGCCAAAGAGACAACTATTCACCAGACGAAAATAACTACAGATTATAGTACGACCTTCATCAAAGATCAAAATTCTCCTTTTTCGATCTGCTCTAGCCTTTAACATCTGATGTGATGCTACGTATACCTTGGTTCAATATGATATATTTCCGGAAAATTTTTTGTAGATTTAAAGAAAATTTATTGATAACGGAAAGAGAGCTTGCTAACTTTCCTTGATTTTTATATATAGATTATAACATGGCATTTTTCATATCAGACCCCTTATCAGCCCTAGGTCATAATATCAGCCCGAGAGCTGACAGGCTCGAGGGATGATTTTGACCATGGGCTGATAAGGGGTCTGATATGAAAAATGACATGTTATGTTCTTTTTATCATATACTTCAGCAGAAGACATACAGACAAATACTATTTTTAAAACTTTGAAAAAGTGTATTTGTTGTAATATTTGTTTTGCATTTTTTAATATTTTTTTTTTCTTGATTCCTAATATTTTTTCATCCAACTTTGTTATGTTTTACACAAAATACGTAGGCCTACCATTGAGGTGTATTTTTCGGAATTTGCCGAATGAAGTCGAATTGTTATGCGATAACGTTACAGAAAAGCATGCGCTAATAACCGGAAGCAGTTGATATAAAACGGAAGCAGTTCATACACAAGAATTGCGGACAGCTCAGCTGGATGGCTTTATCAGCTACCACACAGAGAACCGTAATCATTGAATTTTTTTTAACGTTATTGTCTATGGGGAATTATGACCACTAGCTAAATAAACGAATACTATGTCTATTTTATAAATCTCATATAAAATTAATAAATTATACAGATCTCACCATTTTTTTAGCTTTGAAATGGTGTAATAAAATCCACTTTATCTTGATATTTACTGGTGTCCCTATCATGTTGAACGTCGGGTTCTCTTTTGGTTGAGATATGTTAAATTACGAGGTATACATATTTTATAAAAATTCATATTAAATTCATCTTTTATTGTAAATCAAATTAACAAATTATACAGCATTGGAAAATAATTTTCCTATCAAATGGTATAAGAATCGTCATTTTAAAATAATGTTTACTGTTGTCCCTAAGCATTTGAAAGTGAAACTTCATTATTTATGAATACGATGTATATTCGTTGATTGACTAAGATTGACCGTATTCAAAGACTAATTGGTCTTGTTATTTAGTCGAATTCTCATTTTTATGATGTGAACTTCTTTTCTAATTACATCCATCATTTTAAATATCTAGTTAGGTTTTAAACAATATATTAATTTCTATTATACCAAAGAGTTCTTTAAACATCAAAATTTTAAAAGTAGTGTGGTTTTGTTGACATCTTGAAGAAAAATATGCAAAAAGTGTTGGTTTTTTTTTCGATTTTTTTAAAGGCTCTGTCTAATTAATCTTATTTTGATTTGAGTAATTATATTATTATTATCAAATATTTGAATACACAATTGCATGATTGTATTATTGAAAAAAAATGTCTACGAAATCTGAAAAACTAAATTGAAATAGAAAAGATGACAACGTGTAATTTTTAATGTTATTCAAAACATACACAAAATTTTATACAAGTTTTGTATAATGAAAAGGTATAGGGAATATTATTCTTATCATTATAAGAAATGATCAGAGAAGTAAATGCAAGTATTTTGAATGTATACAGTAAGATATCATAGCATCAAAATCATTGTTAGGATATGCTATCTTTATGTTCTCCTTCATACATTAATCTTATTGTTTAGTACAAGGATTTGTATAGTACTATATAAATCCTTGTTTAGTATATTCATAAAATGTCGTTTAATAATACAAATGACGAAAAACATCGAGGTCCTTTTTAAGAAAAGCTCCATAATTATCGATCTCAGCTAACATATAAACACGAATGTGTCAATATTTACATAGTATATTGTTTAAGCGTCCCATGGTGCCACGGCAAATCCTTTCCGGTGCGGTATCACTATTCAATACCATATGTTACTATTTTATCTTATCATTGAAGTATTATATTGAAAATATAGTAGTCCATGCAAAAGAAATTGTTGGGAGACCCCCTTTTTTATTTTTTGCAGTTAATTTATAATTTGAAAATAGTCTTTTCACATCAACTTTTTTACCTTGTCTTAAGTGTTCAAACTCTTATCAATGCGATTTAACATTAATAATTTATGTATGTTGCCCTCTTTTTTTATGTTTAAATGTTTAAGAGTATTCTACACATAAGAATATAGGGTAACACATATAAAATAATTTTATAAAGTAAAAAAAAAATTGAGATACGGCTGAAACAGAGACATACATACACAATGTGTATATATGTCTCTGGCTGAAATATGAACGAATATTTTCAAATAAGATTAATTACAACAAAAAATAATTATAAAATTAACTAGACAAAGTGATGCCCCGCACTTCACTCTGAAGTAACTGTATCATAACAAAGATAATGTAGAACTTTATCTGAGATTTAAATGTGTCTGGGAGAAACAAATGATGCCCCCGCAGATGCAAAGTGTTATTTTAAAATAACTTCAACTATCTCCCAAAAGAGCAAATATTAAACCCTGACCACATGCACACCTTCAATATATGTATAAACCACTAAACTTTAAGGAGAAAGTCTGCGGTTTTATTTACTGATATCTATGTCTAATTAAGGGTAGTGAATTATGTAAGTTTTATGTTCCTAGAGGACAGGAAAATATTACAATTTAATCAACTGTTGTTAATGAGTTTACGTGTTACATAGATCAAATATAATTCAGCATGGAGTATACACCTGGCTTATACAATGTCAATGTCGAATACATGTGACCTACCCATATCAAATAAAATCTAAAATTGACAGTAAAAAAATGTACATCTTGTCATATTTATGATATTGCCTTCTGTAGCTTTTATTTATATGTTTATGAGATTTCAACCCTCCCTCTATACCTCTAGCCTATGTAGAATAAACAAAACAAGGCAATACGCACAGTAAAACTCAGTTTCAAAGAAGTCCAAGTCCGATGTCAGAATAGATAACAAAAGTCTTTTAAGACACTAAGCAAAATGGCAATGATACATGATAAATTAACTAAAGGACTACTACAGCAATAACTGACATGCCAGGTCCACACTTCAATTAAACTGATTGAAAGATTATGTATTCGTCATATTCATAAATTGTCTATCCTTTTCCAGAATCACGTTGAAGAGTTAAATGCTATTTTTTTTATATCAAACATAATCTAGATAATACTCAAGCCTGCTTGATGTTGAAAGGATTTGTATATTGGATTTTCATCTAACCCAATTAAAAAGAAATTTACAAGGATAGATCAGTTTGCCTGCGGCTTTTATTGAACTTGTTAAAATCAGAAACACCGATGATAAATTATTTGGACTATCTTAAAGCTTCCGAAAAGGTCGTGTGTAGTATAAACAGGGTTACAAATTTCATACAATAAAAAAAAAAGTATTGATCAAGAGATATACATATATTATAAATATAGGAAATATAATAACATGTAAACGTATCTCTTTTGAACCATCGTTAACAGAAAATATTCTTTCTACATCATAGGGCATGCAAAACTTTTCTTTTTTTAATTATTTATTTCCTATCGGCAATTTCTTCATCATTCATCTGTGTATAGTGTACGCGGGGTTTCTTTCTTAAATCCAACTGCGTTCGGAATTATCGTATAACAGCTAATTTCATAAATTACCCTATAGACATAACGTCAAAGTGACATCTATTGGCGGGGTGTTCGTTTAGGGGAGTTATCTATTCTTATCTTCTGGTAACCAGACGATGAGAACAAGATGGGAACCAGAATAGAAAAGTAACACGAGTTATCTCGCCTTGAAATGTCCGTAATTCTTGTACATGGATATAAACCGGAAGCAGTTG